GTAAATATTACAATATTTTATATGAAATATTCTGAATAGACATGTAATAGAACTGAGGAAATTTTTATTCGTTTCACCACCAAACAAGTATTCATTTCTAATGTTTCGCTATTTGTCTCATCTGAACGTACGATTTTCGTATTTCTTCGCCTGTGTCTGCTTCTCCTTCTGTGACTTAAACTGCTTTTATTCGATTTCAATATAATACGTAGTGTGTTAATAGTGATTATTAGAAGAATATACCCTGTGGTTTTGGTGAAGTAAAACAAACTACTAAAATGCCAATTGTCATTGCAATAATTGTAAATAGAAAAAATGCCACACCAGACTTGATTGACCTTGGTATTGACCCGTACCAACGTTTTCTAAAATAAAAAATAAGATCATCTGTATAAGGAAAAAAAACAATAAAGTCGTACATATTCCATGCAGGTTTCGATGCTGTTACCGAGTGACCAATTTTACCACCACCACTCGCTGTTGACTTATTTGTATCCAAAATCGGTCCGATGTCTTCTCTCAGCTCAGCAGATGGTTGCTGAATAGGAACCGGAATTTCGGCTAATTCAATGTTATTACCAGTAGAATCCATTTCAATCTAAATAAAAGCAACAGTGAACGAAACATTTGCATAGTTTTGTCAATTTTTTGCTCTTTTAAATATTAAAAATAAACCACTTATCAATATAATGTGTAGTTCAATGAACGGTGAATATATGATAAATGTTTTTTAAGATTCGTTTTATTTTTATTTGCATCTATGGCTGTATGTATGTTTTTTCATTTTCAAAATTCAGATGTGCATTAAATAAATTATTTTACTGTTTTATCTCGTGAACACAAGATTTCTGGAGTTGAATTCGAATATGGATAGGAGCCGATAGACTTTGATGAATAGTTTCAGCTATCATTTTTTTGATTCTATGTCATCATATCATTACAATGAGGATTCATTTTTACAATAAGTATACTCAGATGAAGCTTGAAGAATCAGTTGTTCTACACTAATACATTTCAATAGAATGTCACCACAAGACTCTTATATCATAGATTTGTACTGAAAATACGACATAAAAATCTATTGTATAGTATTTATTGGGTAATGAATTGGGATCTGAAAATATATAATATATATATATACTGTAGTCATATTTACCTATTGAATATTGTATTCAACGATCGAAGTAAAATAATGATAAACGAGAATATGAGTTGTAAATAGAAGAAACAAATAAAAAATGAATAAAAATGTGAGAAGCACAAGCTTAAATGCATATTTTATCTACAGTAACCATTGATGCGTAGACCATTTTCACATTATTCTAAAGAAAAAATAAGGGCTAATCACTCAGAAGAACGTGCTTGCAATGAATGTAATAGCACATAAGGAAAAAAAATCCGTCAAACGAAAATTTCTATCTTACCTTTAGTGCAATGATTATTGACTCATCGGTCGTTCAAATTTTATCTCAAGAAGAAACCCGCGTGAGTAATAATTGTTTTTGCGATACACGTCGTAAATGTGATCGTTAATTTCATACAGAAAGAAAAAAGAACGAACATGTATTAGACGATTGTCTCACATCAATGAAACATGTGCATCTGCTCAGATACAGTCAATATCTTCAATAAAAACGGTTTTATTTATACTTAAAAATTTTCATATAAATATTCAAAATAGGCGTTCTCTTTTCAATGTAAAAATATCAGATACATCGAATTGCACAAAAGTCATATAATTCACTAATGGATATAAATATATCTATATATATTCTTTAACACTCGCCGCATTATTTATTAATTGTATTAGTATTGTAAAAATAAGATTAAAAATAAAAATTATGTACAAACGTTCTTTATTTTTATCTTGTCAATCTGATTTCACTTTTTCTTTCGAAAGTACTTTGTCAAGGTCATATATATTCTTTTTTTATTCTTAAATAACATAAATACATCAAAACATAATAATAAAAACAAATATTCACGATATAGACGCTTTATTATTATATAAATATATCCTTATGTTAAAAATTGAAACGGATCGAAGTTAAAGTTTTTATTACTAAAATAAATAAAAACAAATCTAAAACTATAAAAGAATAAATTATTACTTGAATAATAACTGATTTCAATTCGATTATATCGAATAAACACATAAATCGAAAACAAAATAATTAAAATAGAATTTAAACTAAGCAGATAATATTTTCATGAATACTCTCATATAACATAAGACAAAAATAGAAAATAAAATATTATTAAAACGAAAAAATTTAGAACAACTAATATTACCAGCCGCATTCTCATAAATGTATCATATGATTCAAGAAAGAAAAATGGATGATATTCGAGACAAGGACACGTGTATATTTTTACAAGTTAGAGAAAAAAAACGACTATTGTACAGGTATAGGTAAGAAAAAGAACGAACAAATTAACACGTGGGAATTTTTTGTTGAGAAATAAGACAATATTACATCTCTTATAAACATTTTTTAAATATTTAACGCGTTCGTGTGTGTTTATTACTAAAGAAGTTCAAAAATAAATATAAGCCTATATCAGAATTGAACTGATGAACTATAATATAATAAATTGCATATTAAACACACCTAGCTGTGAAATAAATATAGCTCGAAGTTATATTTATGTTCATGAATGAGATGAATCATATATTTTAAGTTATTTATTATAAATTTAAGAATACACATCTTGGATGGGTCTGGGTAGATGTGGATATGGGTGTATCATTTCACTCACACCCATACTCTCACCCACATTTCAATGACATCATGCTCTAGTTCAGTTTATATGGAAAGAGCAATAAATAAATATATGAATAATTAGTAAGGTATATTCATGAGGATCAAAGTGTTTTTTTATCTAACCTAGATTGAGAAAATTATATACTAAGGCTATATGACAAAAAAAGCTTTATGCTGAACCACACTCTCAAATTTTTCTGAATAAAGGTAATGATAATTATATGGTTGTAGTGTCTTACTGAACACTACTAACTAATTTAAAAATCGAAAAAAAAAGTCAACATTATATCTAGGCTAACGATAATCGAGTAGAAAGTGAAACAATATAATTATCTGTTCTTGAGAAATAGCACAAACAATTAAGTCTTTCTAATTTTCATCACAAGGATAATGTTTAACGAAGCATATTTTGCTATGCAGTCTGCACTACTATTATCATTTTCTATGCTAATAATCTAAGTCAATTCTTAAGAAAAAACATAAATTTGATAAGTAAGTACTAGAGGTGTCACTTTAACTTTACTTTAAACAAAAAGTTAAAGTTAAAGTGACATCCCTAGTAAATACAAATGACGGACAAGCCGTTATTTTTCGTTCGTTTCTTTTAGCACACATCACATATACTTGGATTTTTTCGTTCCTGTCCATCACATATGTTAGATTTTTTCCTTCTTTTTTTCCACGCGTCATCTTTTCAGATGTATATTGTGTTTTTCGAGATTTATTCCAGCCGCTCTACCTCGATCAACCCATGAACATTTTCCAAGAATGTACGATCCGCTCTCCTATATATAACCAGTGCTTTCTACAAATAAATAATGTATGATCCAAGTAAGCATGACTCAAACTGTTTGAGTTTGGGTTTGCGCTTTTTTAATCTGTAGAAGAAACTATTTTGGATACATTGATGGCAATTAAAAGAAGACCCAAACTCAAACTCCTAAATGTTTGCACTGAGAATTTATATAAACTATTTTGGAAAAAAATTTTTTTTACTTAGATTTTTATTCACTAAATTACTTAGCAAAAGGAGCAGTCATCCTATTCCGCAATGTTGAACATTTCAGGAACCAGTTCCGCTCCGGAATCGATTCCGTTCAATTCCGGGAACTCGATCGACACTTAATATCCGATACCCACTCGAAAATTGATCGAGTTCCGTCCAATTCCGGAATTGGTAGGAATTCCGGAATCGGTAGGAATTCCGTGTAATTCCGTAATTAGAAGTAGTTCACGCAATTCCGGAATTGGTGGGAATCGGTAGGAATTTCCAGGAATTCCGTCCAATTCCACTGAATTCCGTCTTGATGCAATTCCCGGAATTCCGTAACGGAATTAGATCGTATTCAAACGGGATAACTTATCAGCACAACACAACAAATGTGGGTGAGGTGGATGGTGTGATAACTTATCAGCACAACACAATAAATGTGGGTGAGGTGGATAGTGTGATTCCGGTGCGGAATTCCGGAATCAGAACCAATTCCCGCAATTCCGGAATCGGTGGGAATTGGCGGGAATTGGTAGGAGTTCCGTGTAATTCCGTAGTTAGAAGTAGTCCACGCAATTCCGGAATCGGTGGGAATCGGTAGGAATTCTCAGGAATTCCGTCCAATTCCACTGAATTCCGTCTTGGTGCAATTCCCGGAATTCCGTAACGGAATTAGATCGTATTCAAACGGCATAACTTATCAACACAACACAACAAATGTGGGTGAGGTGGATGGTGTGATTCCGGTACGGAATTCCGGAATCGGAACCAATTCCGTGCAATTCCGGAATCGGTGGGAATTCCGTGCAATTCCGGAATCGGTCGAATTCGATCAATCTCGACTGGGTGTCTTATGTTGTGTGTCGATCGAGTTCCCGGAATTGGAAGGAATCGATTCCGGTGCGGAACTGATTCCTCCAATGTTCAACATCGCGGAATAGGATGCATTCTCAGCAAAAGTAGAATTTTTTACTTTGCACTTAAATAGGTGCCATTAAATTTTTGTATCTAATGACAACAAAAGCGTTTTATTCTTTGAGCTAAGCAAAATAATTTTTGTGCCTTGATAATGATAGGTTCTGATTTGCTTTCTAGAAAAAAAAGTTCTTGCGTTCTGTAAAGAAGAAATTATATAAAGAAAGAAAAACATCGAATATCTTTAATTTATATTCTGCGAGTAGTTGTCATTCGTTAAAACAATAAATAAAATATCGACATTCATTTAACTCTTATATCTATTTAAAATGAACATAACTTCGTTTGTCAAATCAACGGTATTTCTCCAAAATGTAACAGCAATAACTATGGAATCATGGCTTATTCCGATGGATATCCTCATGATTGTCCTCACTACTTTGGTCGTTACAATATCTTGTGTTTTTCTAATTATTATTATTCTCAATAAAACATGTCACACAGTTATAATGATGTTAATTGCCAATACATATTTAGCTGCACTTCTATTTGGATGTTGTCTGATCGGTTCGTCTGTATTCATGTTTCAAAATGATGTTAAACAAATTCAAGACCAAGATCCACTGTGTAATTTTCGAGGCTATTTTATTTATGTCTCATGTGGTCTACACAATTATTCATTTCTATTACAAGCTATCTATCGGTATCTAACAGCAGTTTATTCGAATCGTTTATTTTGGCAATCACGACGAATTCAAATATTATTTATATGTATAAAATGGATCTTTTGTTTTGTGTATATTTTACCTATTCTATTTACTAATGGATTTACCTATAATGTTGACAATCAAATATGTCAAACACCTCTTGGACTTTCATTTTCAATAATTTATGCATCAACTTGTGTTTATGCATTTCCCATGTTGTTGATTGTGTTAATTTATTTTACATTGGTTCGATATGTTCATGGAATGAGTAAACATGTGACAGCTGCAAATACTTTATCTCGTGCAAAGAGAGAATTAAAAATGGTTCGACGCATACTTATACTTGTAGGAATATTATTAACAATTGGTTTTCCATATGCACTATTTGCTGTCATATCATTTTTTACAACTCCACCAACACATCATTATCAAATAGCGTATATATTTGCTGAGACATCATTAGTATGTGTACTGATTACTTCATTTTATTTTACAAATCCACTTAAAACATCTATAATAAAAATAATAAATAGACAAACCAATAGAGTTATACAAGCTGTTATATAAATAAAGAGAAATCAGTCAATTTAATTTATGTTGTAATGTAATATTGTTTTTCTGTCTCCAAATAAAAGACGAAAATAAAAAATGACAGAAATATCAATAGTAGAAAATACCAATCAAACAAATATCATTCGAAATTTGATTGTTTCTCCGAACAGAGTTTGTATGTTTGGTAAGTCTGGCATAATTTCATTTTTGTTCAGTCCGCCACCTAAAACTCGTAATGTCACCTGTTCCAGTTTAAAGTGTGAATGTGTTAATTTATTCCATTCATTAACATCCAATAAATTCGTGAAATTCCCTTTGTTAGTAATAAGACACACACGTTTAACACCCGCCCTCAAGATAAGATCAATTATTGCCATTAATAAACATGATGAATAGTTTTGCATACAATCGTTTTGTGAAGCGAATGGAAAATAGCTCATATCGATCAGAAGATACTCGAGAGTAAAATATATACTACTAGCTGGATATGTTTGATTTGGAGAATAATGAACACAAAATATTCCCGAACTATATAGATGAAATCGTTTGATTCGCTCTGGTAGTCGAATAATCATATCACGAATAGCATCGAAAGCAATTTCGTAATCATACCAAAGTGAAAGAGGAGTGATATTCAGGAAAGGTATTTTATAGAATATGAGTTCATGTATAGAATGATGATTAATTAGTGAGATAGACATAACTTCATTGAATATGCTTAGTAGGTTTGAACTGGCATTTGATAATCGTTCTTCTGTATTGAATCGTAAAGAAACGACTTGTGATGAATTCAATTTTCGTAGAACCAGCTTGATCAATCGATCAGACGGTTCAACAAGTTGTACTTTTGCTTGAGTTCTATGTAATAATGGGAGAATATCGAATGAAAAAGCATTAATCGCATCGTTCAATGATAAATATTTTGCTATTTGAAGAATTACATTCGAATCAAGACCAGTCTTCGCAAGAATATCTCGTAACTGAAACAAATCAAGGCGACATACAGAAAAATTTGTCTTCACCTTTCTCGATTATTTGTGTAAATACGAAAACTTACTCGGAGCCGTTCATTCCTGTCACATTCTTCTTTGAAAATAACTAATTCATTTTTTAACTCTTCAAGTGTTATTGTAGCATTTTGAAGTAATGTTTTCAATTGATATTCATTGATGAATAATTCTTCATTTTCTTCTTCACAAAAGCGCATAACACCAATTAACATTGGACATTTCTCCTTGGAAAAATCTACAGGATCTTCAGAAGGAAAGACTTCCTGCCAAATTTCCATCAACCTAAAAGTTTCTAAATATTTTCAAAAACTTTTCTATTTCGAGAAGTCGTTCGAAGGAATTTTAAGTCAACAATAAACTAGAAGGAAATACGCTTACTTATTTTTATTTGAGTCATAGGTTATATCCCATGGCCAAACAATATAGTTCTCCAGTAAATACTCTGTAATAACTGTTGAACAGAACATTGTCGAGCAAAATATATTACTGAAGTCACTTTGATCGTGGTGTACATAAATCAGTACTGGTCGACGCTGCAATAGAAGAAAGATGATTTACTTTCTATAGTTATCAAAACGAACTTCTGTAATAATCGCTGAACTGAACGCTTCTTTGCAAGCTGTTTGAAGAGAACTTGCGAAGAATATTGGACAAGTATCATAACGTTGACCAAAACATACATACATAGATTCAATACCAACAATTTCACTGGGACATTCATCCGGAACTTCAATATGATATATATGCGAATTAATCATCAAAGAATAAATATAAGAAAAGTAACTTACAAGGAGGACGATCCATACGTAGATCACTATTGTCAAAAATCTCATCATCTATTTCTTCTAAATCGCTATCCTAAACAGAATAGAATGATTCAATTCGCTATTGGCTAAGTGAAAACCAAAGAGACATATTTACCATTATTATTGTCTATCACGAAGAAAAGATGCCGCAAAATAATAAAGTTCTCTATGTCTATGACCAGTTTACAATACACCTGTCTCGTATATATATATTTCGGCATACGATAAAACTCTTTTGATTCTACCCACATTCGTAGATAAAAAGAAAAAAAAACAAGCAGTATAAAAAACGTTGTTTTTTCTGTTCTCGTTCTTCCTCGCACTCAAACATGAATTTTTTATTGTCAAAGAACAATAGTTCGTATTTTACTTATTCTTAGATACATCTGGAAAGAAGACTCGGTGATGGTTGTTTCATACGTCACCCTCGGCTTTCTCACTATATCATAATTAGATTTCGAAGACAAATCATTTCGTAATAGATATGTCTACGGAAAGTTATTTCTGCCATCTTGCAAACTAAATTCGTATCACTTCATATATTTTGCTTTCAGGTTGTGTAGATGAGAATGTGCGTGCGAAACACATCTTGTCTTTATCAACAACGATCTTGAGGGTGTGGGTCTGGATGTTCATGCCTGTAATCGCTCAAACCATACCCACACCCGAGCTTTTAACTTACTCCGAATATCACGAAAAAAGACATGGATTTCTCGACTCCTGAAGAAAAATATTGAATATAAGAACTTCTAAAAAGTCTGTAATAATTCAATTTAGCTTTCAGATTTAATACTACAGAATGTTGACTAGAATAAGAAATATAATTTACATAAATTTCTTTTTGTCTTTTGTCCGACTTGAAAAAATGTGTGAACACATAAATTATAATTTATAACTATGGCAAAGTTTTATCTTTTGCCTTTTTATTTAAATCAGTTGAATGATTTCCTTTATTCTTTTAGCAAAACAAAAAGAAATTATTAAAGTAAAACTACATATAATATATCGATTAAAAATAATACTAAAACATTTTATATAGGGGTTAGTTTATTTTAATTTACATGAATGGTTTAACTGAGTTTTTAATGATCTAAAGAAAAGCAAAATAAATTAGAGAGAATTAGTTTACTTTTTGAAAGGTTAATGCAATACTCACATCCTCAAGATGGATGGGTAGAAAAACAAAACACCCACATTTAGAATTGATGAAAAATAGTTGCACGAATAAGCTCGAGAAGGCATACGCCTCATCATCATATTTTATTATTTTAGATAGTATATATTATGACAGATAGAAAGTATCAAAACACTGCTCTCAAATCATCAATTCACTGTCAGGCATATGAACCACAGCCACAGCAAACGCACTCAAGAGAATTTGATCCGATGTTAGTTTTGACACTGTTGCAGGACCAAAGCCAGATGCTTCATTAACGACTTGCATTGTACCACCAGTGCAGCCAGATAATACTACGTTGATATCAGCAAATCTTTTGTTGACCATCAATACCCATCGACGACCATTTTTAGTCACAAATGCTTGACTGAACAAGTTTTTTTCACCCACATCAGATGTACGCGTGATAACTGCTTGATCATTGTCGATATCGGTTGTATTGATTAGTAATTTTGAAACCCAGTATTTGGCTGTTCCTTCTCCTGTGGTCCAATTCAACATAGCAACACTAGGAAATTGAGGTTCAAGTTGAAGATCAGGTAGATTTGGATAACCTAATAGATGAAAAAAAACAGTTTTCTCTCTCTGAAGACTGAAATCTGACATGAAATGAACGATACTCACCTACCAGTTGACTGTGTCCTACAACATCAATGCCTTGTCGAGATATTTTACCCCATGCATAAGCATAGTAAGCTGCACCAGCATTCCAAAAGACCAATGGAAATTGAGGTGCACCGGGTGTATTATCATCCGGGAGGATTATTCCTAGTTCATCAATAGTAGTTCTTGTTTCGGGTGAAAGTTCCTTTCGAATAACTTCGATCTGTCGGATTTCATCTGTGAAAGTATCGAGTTGAGGAAAGAATGCTTCGTAATCGAGTGGATCTGTTCTTGTCTTGCTGGAAGCATAGAAGTGATAGGAAATCATATCCAGTGGAATATCTGGTGCATGATTTGAATGATTAAGAAAGTAACGATACCAATTGAATTCATAGTGACCTATGTATTTAAAAAAAAACATCTTCTTATATATTTCGTCTTGGGACATACCTGAAAGTGCCATTCCAACATATTTCATTTCAGTATTGTTGGTATGTCTTCTAATACCCTGAATCACGGCATCGTACGCTCGCGTATATACCTCTGGAGTCATCTGATGTTCAGCTTCAATTTCATTGAATATTTCAGTGTAATCCCACTTATATGAATAGTTTGATACATGTCTGTCTCCATATTCATCGATGAAACCACCTCGAGTATACCATGCCGTAAGACGGCCATAGTAATCACCGAGTGCTTGCATTGTATCATCGACAAATTGTGTACCTTGCGGATATCCCCAATCAGTTTCTGTTACATTATCGGGGTAGATATGAGGCGTATCCAGTTTGAACAACCACGTAGGTTGAGTAGAAAACATAACAATACGTGAATGGCCATCGGTTGCTTGAAGAAAATCTTGAAACATCGGATCTACATAGGTGAAATTCCAATAGGTATTGTTTTGTGGTGGATTGCATTGGATTTGAACGAGCAGTCTCTTGTGTGTTCCAAAACCTATAAGAGAAAGATTTATGAATGAAAACGAAATCTCTATACTTACAAGGATCTCCGAATATTTGATATGAAGCCGGAACACTACATTCTTGTTGACCGAGACATGCTTGTTTAACAATATCCATAGTAGTCGTTGCATGACAAGTACCTTGTTTCATCTGGCCACAGGCACCAGTTGCTGTTCCATATGAAGCAAAGTCAATACTACTAATTGTTCCACCACTCTTTCGGCAGGACAGTTGAACGGGGTAGCTTTCGCCAGCATTGCCACATTGGGCTAAACCTGATGGTGGATCGAGTTCAGCCACGGCCATTTTTGGATAGGGAAACCAGGCAGCGAATCGCGTATATTCAGCATTGAGCTGTGCTAAATTGTCAAATATCTTTTTACTAACAGGTGAAAATTGTCTTGATACAAGTGGATTAGTGACGATCTGTAGGCTTGGTGTAGTATGCAGAGGATAATCTTTTGCCGACCAACTCACTTCGATGGTAATTGGATCAGCGCTGCTGAGAATAAAGTAACCAGCGAAAAATAACGACGTATACTGAATAATATTCATCATTGCGAATAAGAATAATAATGTTTTATTTTATTTGGTGGCTAGTTAAGTAAAGATTTTTATCTCGCATACCTCTTTTTTTTTCTTTATTCTTCAGAGATAAGATGGTCTATTTCAAAAACCAACGAATACATCAAGGTGTATTTGCTAACAGCTTCAATATCAAGAACGTTATCTCTTGTGTATTTATCAAAAAAGAGAATACTGCATCTCTACGGACATCGAAAATCTTGAGGGTGTGGGTGGGGGTGTAAACATCTATTGCTCTTTGTTACATTCTCATACACACCCTCAAGACGATGTCTATGCCACAGTTGACATGAGAATTTAGTTAAGTTTGGAATGTGCAAAATAAATAAAAAAGAAAAAAATATCGAAGAAGATTTTTCTATTAGAATAAAATAGATTATTTGTATAGTAGATTCCAAAAAAAACATATTCAAAACAATTTATTCAACGTTGTGTGTTATCAAGATATAAAATAATTGATTGTCTCATAATATTGTGCTAAGATCTACTAAACTAAATGTTTATGTCGCTTGTGTAAATGAACTGTATTCTATTTATTGAGGTTCGTTACTATGAAACATATAACGATTAAACATTAGCTATGACGATATTTTTAACTAGATAAATCGATGTATTTTGTTTTTATTTAACTGCTGACTTTCATTTTCTCTTGAATGTGATCGTAAACTTTAAAATCTGTTTGTCATATTTCTTTCGTTGATATTATCATCGCACGTGATAAACATAATCTAACTCAAAATATTCATGTCTTTTCCTTTGTAACCGATTCTAAAAATACTTACAAAATCTCAATTACAGAAGAAAAAA